GAGGGACCAGGTGGAGGAGGAGGTGGAGGATGAGGAGGAGGAGGAGGAGGAGGAGGAGGAGGAGGAGGAGGAGGAGGTGGAGGTGGAGGAGGAGGAGGAGGGGGAGGGGGAGGGGAAAGGAGGAGGAGGAGGAGGAGGAGGAGGAGGAGGAGGAGAGAGGAGGATAATGCTGGGAGAATGCTGGTGGGTGCCAGGTCAGCAGCGAGGCCGCAGCTGGACAGAGTTTCGCCCCCCCCCCCCCCCCCCCCCCCCTCGGTGGGCGGCTCTCGATAGCTGACTATTTCCATTAGGTTTCAAAAATGACTTGATCACGCAAGAGCCCGCCTCAAAACGGAGGCGCCCCGTTCCCTTCTCATTAGGCCGCTTATCGCCCTTGGGCAGGAACCCCTTGCCCCGTGGGGGTCCTCTAACCACGGCGCGGATCAGCTAGGAGCAAGAGTCACCCCCCCCCGTTCACCACAGTGCCCATGCAGCGCCGAACGTGCCCATTACGCATGGCCACGCTGTGGGTTGGGTGCACATGCTTATGTGCGGTGCGCAGCTCAGTGGTCGCGGGGCGGGGCACCGAAACAACATTATCGCTCTTACTCAGATGCCGTCGGGTGGGGTCGCCCTTGCAGCGATTATCTTCGAACCCGAACCACTCGACCAAGAAAGAACCAGGGGGCGGCCCACAATGGCACCTACGGCGCACCCGCGCCCCGTTGGCCAGCCTCCCCATATTGTGGCCCGGCTCACGCTGGAGCTCGACAGCGCGCCTGGACGCTTCCCCCCCGTCCTCCCTCGGAAGTCCTCGTGCAGGGGTCGCGGTCCTGCGCGGCGCATTCCATGGTCACGGCGGCCAGTCGCTGGTGGACCAGCGTCGCTGTGGCGTCCGCTGCGCCGAGGGCCCCCGCTTCGGCTCTGATGAACGCAGCGGCCTCCTCCCCCCTTCTCTGGGCATAGGCGTCAGCTAATTCATTACCACGGGAAGCAAGGAGGGACTGGGAGCAGAGGAGGTGAGACTGATCATCGAGGTGGGAACAGCATTTTTTGAGGGTGACAACTCCTGGGCGGGCTCTCGCAGCGTCTCGGACACGCTGCCACCGACACTTGAGCGCCCCGCAAGGTTCGTCCAACTTTCCCCCGTGCCATCCCTCAAAAACAGCTTGGCTGTCTGTGAATTTTGTGTTGTTCCCAGTTGTCAACAATAGACACCGCCACAACGCGGCCGTCTCTGCAGCTGGGACAGTCTGACGGCCGTCAACACCCCCATACCATCCAGGGAGGGGAGGGGAATGCTCAGAGGCACCAGGAGCAGGAGGCCCATTCGGTCTCAGTTGGAGTTACACTCCCCAGACAACACGAGCCACTCGCACATCGGAGGACGTGCCAGGTCCGTCCAGGAGACAAAAACTCACGTCAACTCGCTGGCCTGGGGTGACCAATCCATTGCAATCGACGATTGGGGGCGCGGTGTTGACGGCTTTGACGCGCCAGGCATTTACATCTCCCCACTCTGATGTGGGGGGGGGCGCTGGATTCCAGGAGAGAGGGACAACCCCTCGGAGCCACCGGGAAGTATTAACCCCTCGGTCGAGGTCGCGGATCGCTCGCTCGCAGAGGTTGGCCGTCCTAGAGATCCATGGGTGCTCCGTGGTAGCGAGACTCGGGCACTCGTAGGTTCTATGGCGGGTGGTATCAGCGGCCCCTAGTCCACACCTGGTGCACAGGCCCTGGGTCTGATATCCAGCTCCCCGCTGACGATCCCCATTACAGATTGTGGCGCAGGCTATCCCCTCCAGGGCTCCCGCTTCCTGGAACATGTCTTTCTTGTGCATTCGCTTGACATTGAATTGCAGCATGCTGAGATAACCCCCATTCGACAGGCACGCTCCTTCACTGTGTTGGGCAGCCTGCTTCCACAACAACTGCTGAACTGACTGGGCCACAGCGTTACATATCTCAGCTGCATCCTCAGACGGGTCGGGGTTGAAGCGCCACTCATCACCGTCGGGGTCCTCCCACGCGTCGGGTTAAACCCCGACCCATCCCAGGGATCGGAGGGTGAGCAGCATGGCCCCCGTAGGCCCCGTCGCAGCTCTCCATCGGGAACGGGGTTCCAAACGGGCCAGCTTGAATTTTGTGGCCGTCCATCCCCGCCGAGCCTGCTGCCTGAGAGGGTGGGATTGTCAGCCCGAAAGCTCGGCCACTCTCTGGCCTGGCGCTTCACGCGCGCAGCGCAGGGGTCCCCATCCTCATGCATCAGCAGCGTGTCCATGGCCGTGCATCGGCCTTTCTCTCCGAAGCCAGCCAGGCCCGCGGCCAAGGGTCTCCGCTCACGAACTTCGGTCGGGGGGAGGCCACACAAGGGGGTATCGCAGGACATCTTAGCCCTCACGTTGGCACCACATAGCAGCTTGCTTTTCTTTCTGCGTGCTCGCCCGAGACCAGCGAACAGCCCAGCCCTGGAGGCCCGAATTTCGCCCCACCTACTCCTCCTGGCTGAGGTCTTCCTGGATCTGCGCATCCCCATGGTGCTGTCGGTCCCCGGGTCTTTCATCTCCGTGCCTCGTTTGATAGTAGTGTCGAGCTCTCCAAGGGCCCTCTCGACCTCTGCGGCATCCTGGGGGTTCTGGGCCAAGATCGTGGACTTGTTGGAAATCTTGAGTCTCGCCTTCAGGCATCCTCCAACTGGAGCGACCGCTGCTTTCGACACCGCAGCTCCAACCACTTCGCTGGGCCCCTCCACGCGGGCCGTGATGTCATCCACGAATCGACGCAACCTCGCTATGGGAACTGCTAGGTGTACAGCTTCTGGTGCACGATATAGGAGGGCTCGCGCTCCGTGATTAGGTTTACCACGCCCTGGGACCATGCCATTGTCGGGGGTGATCAAGTCGCTGCAGATTTTCTCAACCTTGACCAGTCTGGGGCAGAGGTACGGCATCATGCACATGTACGGCACGACGGGGGGACATTCAGCTTCCGATGCTCGGGTTGCTTGGACCCCTAAGTCTACCAATTCGTGAAACTTCTCTCGGTCCTGGAAACATGCAGCTTGGCATGCTTCGTCCAGGTTGGCTCGGGTTTCGTCCAGGACAAGAGTGAAACGTGCCGACTGCAACGCCGAGTTTTTGTGTACTGCTGCGTCCCATAATCCCGCGTTTCGATCACACCATTCAGTCACTCGTTTTTTGGGGGCCATTTTCCCCCATGCCCTCATCATTATTGGCACCAGCCCAGTAGGACGTTCTTTCAGCGTTTTTTTTATTCTTCCGTTTGGGGGTAATGCATACCACATCTGCATGCTCTGATGAGGCCAGGTCAGCTGCCGCTCGCACATATTCAAACTGATGAGGACGAGTTCCTTGTACAGCGGGCTGAGCGCCTTCAGCTGGTCAGGCGCCCATCGGTCAGCTCCCAGCCCCGTCCCTGATTGAAAGTTGCTCACCGCCGTCTCCAAGCTCTCGATGGCGTGGAAGGGTCGGTCCGAGAGGTCATCAATGGCCTTGGCTCTGAGGTCGCGCATGGCCTGCGACAGCTCGGTCTTGGCAAACTCCTTGCGCGCCGTCCACCGTCGCTCTCACTGCCGCCGTCGTAGTTGAATGCCTCGCTGCGGGTCCATCTCCCGCTTCTTCGTGTCTGGGTCCATGCAGCCGTCGCTGGTGTCGACCCGTTCCTCTGAGCTCAAGTAGCGGCGCGAACCTCTCATGGATGCGTTCGTTGCCTTCTTATCCAAAGATCGGGCCTGGGCTCGCGTGTCTCGCCATGCCAGGGCGGCATGCCTGGTGGCGCGCTGGAAGATCTCGGCGATGAGCTCCCCCAGCTCCGACACGTCGTTCTGCTGCACATCGGTGTAGTCGAAGGTGCCGTATGATACAGGCCTCGATTCCATCTCGTTGGCCCTCTGGTTGCTGATGCTGGCCGACGCCTGGGTCCTGTCTGGCTCCTTCCTCGCCGAGTGGGCCTCGTCGGGCATCGTTCTCACATATCCGCTGTGGCCTAACCCCTCGCCGCGCTGGGGAGACTGGCTCCCTGAGTCTCAGAGAGGGCGAACTGTCTTTTCTCAACGGGCGCACCTGGCCTGGCTGAGCCAGCCGATGTGGCCGCGCTGTCCCCGCGCATCGCTCCTCTCGGGAGCCCACTGGGGTCCTGGTGCGGGCCCTGTCCAGGATCCTGGGAACACTCCTGGGTGGCGCTCTGACTGGGGTCGTGGCGACTCGGCTTGGCCTTGGGCCTTGATCCATTGTTAGATCCGAAAGGAGCTGTCGATCGCCTGGCTCCAGTGTATGCGCCACCGACGACGATGTCGTGCCCGCAGCTCCAGATGATGGCCCACTCGTGGTCGCTGTGTGGCTCGCAATCTGGAGGAGGAGGAGGAAGAGGAGGAGGAGGAGGAGGAGAAGGAGGAGGAGGAGGAGGAGGAGGAGCAGGGAGGGAGGAGGAGGAGGAGGAGGATGATGAGGAGGAGGAAGAGCAGGAGGGAGAAGGAGGAGGAGGAGGAGGAGGAGGGGAAGAGGAGGAGGAGTGAGGAGGAGGAGGAGGAGGAGGAGGAGGAGGAGGAGGAGGAGGAGGAGGAGGAGGAGGAGGAGGAGGAGGAGCAGGATGAGGAGGAGCAGGAGGAGGGAGCAGGAGGAGGAGGAGGAGGAGGAGCAGGAGGAGGAGGAGGAGGACCTCCTTCTCCCCGTCCTACACATGGAAGTGGTGGTGGAAAATTTGCCCATCATGCTTGGCCAGGGGGGGGGGCAGAGGCCCAGGATGTTCCCAGCGGCTGGGATCGGTGAGTGAGGCTCGGGGGCGGCCAAGAGGGGGGTGATGACTTGACTATGGGGGGGAGGTCATGGCCGGGGCCACGAGATCTCCGCAGCTTTCATGGCGCCTCTTCTGATTTCAGCACGCCCCCGGCGCCCCCCTGGGCCGCGCACGTGCCGCCGGCCATGATTTGCGCCCCCCCCCCTCTTGGACGCCCCCCTCTGGGACGCCCCCGAGAGGCGGTCAAAGCTGGCGCCCCCCGAGAGCAGAAAGGGGGGAACGGCGGAAGCGGGTTCTTCGCCGGCATCCCAGGGAACTGCTTCCCGGGAGAGGCTCGGCGGCGCTGCGCGCAAAGGGGTGGCGGCCTTCTGGGAAGGCGGGGTGCTTCTCAGAAGGGAAGGCCCCGGGGGCTCCTCAGAAGGCTCCTCCGAAGCCTCCAGGGCCTTCTGAGAAGTCTAGACGCTTCGCGTATCCCCACCAGCCGGCTCTTGGGCCTGCGTGTCCTCTCTCATCGTTGCTTCCCTTGCCTGTCACTGAATTCGGATACGATGACTGACACACCGGCCCCCCCCGGGCAGCGGTGTGGATCGTGGAGTGAGTGCTCTGTAGGTCCCTGCCGTTCCTCTGCCCCTGTTTCTCCGCCGACCCCGCGTACGGCGGTGGTGTTCGGACTTCGCGCTGAGTGGTTCAGCCTTCTGCGTTGTAGTTTCGGTTCTCACTGCCTGCTGTCGGCTAGGAGAGCTGCTCGGAGTTTGGCGCCGACAGGGCGACTTCTCCGTTGCATTCGCACTGCTGTCCGCTTCACTTCGGTGCGGCCGGCGCCTATGTGCGTTTGCCCTAATGCGGAGCATTTTGCTCAGTGCATGTGCGCTCCACGTATCGCGTGTAATTTGCCGTGTTCCGTTGCCCCGGGCATCGCTGTTGCCGCCAGACCGTTGTCGCGCGGCCGCCGACCAAAAAACGTATCCCCGCCAGCCCATCCAGAAACGATGTCCAGGCGAGTTGAGAGGTGATCAGGGAAGTGCGGGAGCGAAGAGAAATCAGCCCCGTGCCGTTGCAGTCGTGCACTCTGACACGGAGAAGGTGGCAGCGGTGGGAGGCTGCCCTCTCTTGTTGCAGCAGGTACGGCCCCCCTGGACAACAACCCAACCCTGAGCAGCCGTTAGCTGCATCCCTGGAGTTCGGGCCTGGGCTGCGGCCCTCCCTCTGTCCTCTAATCGCCCCCCCGTGGGCGCTCCGTCTTCTGCCCACCCTGAGCAGCCGTTAGCTGCATCCCTGGAGTTCGGGCCCGGGCTTCGGCCACCACTCTCAACCCTGAACAGCCGTTAGTTGCATCCCTGGATCTCGTTCCCGGGCTTCGGCCCTTCCCAGTCCCCCCCTTCCTCTCCAGGTGGTCCTGGTGGCCCCCTCCGCCTGGAGGGCCCGTGATGTCTGTCCCCACCGGCCCTCCAAGCGGATCCCCACCTGGCAGGGCGGTCTGCCTGGTTCACGTACCCTTGGATCGCGGGGGGATCGCTTCCAGTGCAGCGTTTCCCTGGATTCCCCTGCTACGCTGGCGATGTTCATCCCCGCCAGCCTGACCTCTCACATGCAGTGCACCAGTCTCCACGCTCTGAGCAGCTGGTGGCTGGGGCCTAGCCCTCAGTGTACACCACAGGGCCAGCGCCCCACGTGCACGGGATGGTGAGCCGTGGAACCCGTGGACACTTCGGAGTGGTTCAGCCTTCCGGCAGTCGCGGCCACGGGATGGTGGACCTTGGAGCCCTGTGGACACTTCGGAGTGATTCAGCCTTTCGCAGTCGCGGCAGCTCCCCTGGACCCATCCCATCCACCAGGCAGGTTTGCGTCGTTACCTCGGCAGCTCAGCCCGCCTAGCTTGCATACGCCGTTGGGACGGCCCTGGGCCTGGCGCCCCACTGGCGACTCGTCCATCGCTCACCTCGCCTGAGCGCCTACCAGGCACGTGGGACACGTAGGCATCTGCGCACACGTCCTCGCGCTGTCTGAGTGGTTATGCCTCACGGCATACACCGAATTTCCTGGCATTTTGCTAGGGTGCACGTGCCTGAGCTTCCCTGGATGCCCTCAGCCCGTCAGTTTTCCCGCGCAGCCCCGCTGCTGCTTTGTGAGTGGGCCGGCCGGCCTGCGGCGCGTTCAGTAGCTAATTCGGCCGTTTCCGTGTCCCTGTACGCTTCTGACTCCGCCTGCTCTTTCGCTTGTGGACGCGACCGAAAAGTATCCCCACCAGCCCATCCAGAAACGATGTCCAGGCGAGTTGAGAGGTGATCAGGGAAGTGCGGGAGCAAAGAGGGGGACGGCCGAACCGTGTGAAGGAGAGAGGTGGCGAAGGAGAAAATTGGATGGATGGGTGAGGGAGTAGGGAGAAGGAGGATAAATAGGATGATGATGATGATGATGATGATGATGATGATGATGATGATGATGATGATGATGATGATGATGATGATGATGATGATGATGATGATGATGATGATGATGATGATGATGATGATGATGAGGAGGAGGAGGAGGAGGAGGAGGAGGAGGAGGAGGACGCGGGATGAGGAGGAGGAGGAGGAGGAGGAGGAGGGAGGAGGATGAGGAGGAGGAGGCGGAGGGGGAGGAGGAGGATGAGAAGGGATAGGAGGAGGAAGGAGGAGGAGGAGGAGGAGGAGGTGGAGGAGGAGGAGGAGGAGGAGGAGGAGGAGGAGGAGGAGGAGGACAGCAAGCAAAAGGGCCAGAGGTCTCTTGGATGCTTCTCGGGGCCTTTTGGGGTATCTCTTGGGCGTCTTGGGACGTCTTGGGGGTCTCTTGGCGGTCGTGGGGGGCTTCTCGGCGTCTTGGGTGCCTCTGGCGGGCTTCTTGGGGCCGCTTGGGATCCTTTGGGGGGCCTCCTCGGGGCCTCTTGGGAGCCTCCTGGGGCCGTCTTGGGGCCATCTTGGGACCTCTTGGGGCCTCCTGGGCGCTTCTTGGGGCCATCTCGGAGGAGATCGATCGAACAAGAGGGGAGCTTTTAGGCCCCCCCCCCTCAGGAGGCCAAAATGGTGCCGAAACCATAGTAAAACCAATGATTTTGGTTTCCTCGCCGAGGCCGTTTTGGACGCTCCGACACCTCGCGGAACCCCCTGTCCAGGTCCAGGGGAGGGGGTTAGGGGGAGGGGTAAACCCCTCCCCGAAGGGGAAGAAGGAGGGGTGGAAGAGGAAACTCCCTAAGCCATCGACGCCCAGAGGGCTGGTGGGATTAAGCTCGTTCCGCCCTCTCAGAAGTCGGTAATCGTGAAACCTATCCCATCTCCACCAGGCCGTGGTGTGTGTCTCCGCCCAACCATCCCACCACCCCGGTTGGGGATGGGCCCCTCGAATCCCGAAGGGAACAGCCCATATCCCCATGTGGGGGGGGTCAATCGACCGGTGGGGCCCAGGCCACGCCAGTGGGAATACGGTGGGGGCGTTTGTTAATGAATATGCCCAGGAGGCTCCCGACCCTAGATAATACCTCATCTGATGAGGGCGGCGGTGATACCTATGGTCCATGGCCCAGCCTCAGTTGGTGTGCCACCGACTTCCAGACCCTGGGTTCCTTCTCCAGTGGTTCCCCATCCGATGCCCTCGCTGCAGACATCGGTTCAGCGATGCTCAAGGCCTTCTCCAATGGTTCCTCGTCCGATGCCCTCGCTGTAGACATCGGTTCAACGGTGCTCAAGAAGGCCGACCTCCTCGCGATCCCCCCCCCCGCCCTTGCCGGGCCGCCAAGAGGCGACCGTCCTCGTCGCCGCAGCGGCGGGCGGCCCCGCCGTGGCCTCCGACGTGGCCGTGGCGGACCTGCGCGTGGGGGAACTCGTGCTGGCGGAGCTCGGAGGGGTCACCAGCCGTGAACTTATCCCTATCCCTGAGATTGACACGCCAAAAAAAAACCAAAACATTGCCAAAAAAACCCAACAAACAAACCCCAAAAAACCCAAAACAACCCCCCAAAAAACCCAAAGTTTTGGCATTTTTTTTTTTTTTTTTTTTTTTTTTTTTTTTTTTTTTTTTTTTTGGGTTTTTTTTTGGAAGGCGATGACAATCGTAGGGATGCGCCCTCGCAAACCGAGGGAATCCCTAAGATCGCCATCGTGACGAGGCGATGCCGAACATAGGGATGGGGACGATGTTCCAGGCTGGTCGGAGGGGGCACCGACCCTGCGTGTGCACCGCTCCTGGCCAGGCCAGCCTGGGCCCAAGATCGGTGCGCACGCCCTCCCTCGGAGAACGAGCAACGGGAAAAGCTTAAACTTTCGGAGCTCGGCGCGGATTTCTCGGATCTGCGCTGTGAAGGCCCCTGGCGGCGCCCACGGCGGCGCCCCGGGCGCGCGGAGCGCGCCAGGGGTGGGTGGTCCAGCGCGGAACCAAGACATTCGCGCCCGATGATTCGTCGATGGCGTCTTTTGTCCCTCGGCGCCTTCCTGCCTGAGCCGTGCGGGCGTGTTCACTGGTCCTGTGCCCAGGATGAGCCTGGCCAGGATCGTCGGGGGCGGAAAAGAGGGGGGTGATGATTAGGGGGGGTGGATATCATGGCGTGGGCTATGATATTTCCCCAGATTTCATGGCGTCTCTTCTTGTTTCATTACGTCCCTGGCCCCCCCGTTGGGCCGCGCACATGCCGCCGGTCATGATTTGCACCCCCCCTCTTGGACACCCCCCTCTTGGCCGCTCCCGAGATCGGTGCAGGTGTGTGCTCGGCGTCCTCCCAGGAGCGGCGGCAGGGCGGCCTGGCGTTCGAGCCCGTGCTCGGGTTCCTGCACGTGGTGCGGGGGCAGCCGCGGGAGCTCGGCATCGCCCAGACGTCCCAGACATGCTCGTGTCGTGAAACGTCGCGACGGGAGTTTTGGAGGAGGAGGAGGAGGAAGAGGAGGAAAAGGAGAACGAGGAGGAGGAGGAGGAGGAGGAGGAGGAGGAGGAGGAGGAGGAGGAGGAGGAGGAGGAGGAGGAGGAGGAGGAGAAGGAGGCCATTTTGGCTCAAGCGGCACAAATTTTGGGACTAGCTTGTTCCACACAATGTATGAGTAGGGTTCGCAAAGCCAGCGAACTCGATCCCGACACAGTTGAGGATTTCCCCGAACCACCCACTGTGTCTCTCGGAGCGGCCGCCATGGACGCCGCCCAGCTCGAGGCTGTCCTCGCCAGGTGTGCTGACAAAGCGGCAGACCGGGCGTGCGACCGCATCACGGCCAGGTTCGATGAGCTGGAGACGAAGCTGGGCAAGAAGGTAAACGACACGTGTGATGAGATGGAGAGGAGGTTCGAGTCCAAGCTAGAGGAGGTGAGGAAGCTGGCGCTCTCGGGCGCCGCATCCTCGAATGGTTCCACGGCGGCCCCAAGAACAATGGGTGGTAGTGGCAGCAACCCGTACAGCGTCGGGGGCCAGACCGCACCGAGTACCTTGGAGTTCAAGAGCTGGATCACCGACTGGGAGGACCCAGACGCATCGAGCATGACTCAGGCGGAGGCCACGCGATTTCTCAATGGGATGTTCGCAGCGGTCAACCCAGACTACAGGCGACTCATCGTTGAGCGGTCGACTCTAGACAAAGTGCAGGGACGCTTGCTTCACAAAAAAATGTTCATGGTGATGAAGACGACGGCCAGCAAGAACGATCTGTGGAAGGTTCAGAAGGATTGTAATCGTGTGCTCGCTGCAGGTGGAACGGTGAACGGCAGATTGGTCAAGTGTACTGTCACCCCGTCCCCAGAGGCCAGACCGCTCACCATGCAGGCGGGCAAGTTCTACGGGTACCTGGAGCGCCAGAACAGGAACAAGGACGACTTCAACCTGCAGTACCAGATCTCCTTCGGCAGGCTCGTGGTCAGGTTCATTGGCCAGGTGGCCAGGCCCCTCAGGATCGCGGAGTTCTCTGTTTCAAGTGGTGGGTGGAAGATCTTCCCAGATAATTGGCCTACTGCATTCCCTGGCGTCGACGTCGATGCAGGCTACCGCGCACTCTCTTCTTGACCCGCCCCCAGAGGCGCCCGATTCGGGCATATGCGTGTTTCTCGTAGCAAGAATGTGCAGGTTTTGTCTTGGAGCGTTAGCCGCATCAATGTGCACTCAGTTGGGGATCTACTGGAGTGGGTATATACTCGGTATGGTGCTGGCTGCGTCGCCCTTCTTCAGGAGGTGAGCTCGTGGCCGAGGGGTCCTTTTGCTGCAGGGTGGGTTGTGAGACATGAGCCTGGGCACTCGACGGCTATCGCGTGGCCGCCTACCTTGACTTCGAAACCATGTTCCATCAAGAGCAGTCCACATGCCACAGGCGTAATCTTCGGAGATGCCTGCACAGTGAGCTGCTATCTACCAGGTTCTTGGAGTAAGTCTCTTGAACAGTTCAAAGAAGCGATCGAGGAGGTACACAGCATTCGTTCTTGGAGCATGTTGTAGCTGGGGGAGACTTCAATACTCAGTTGCCACCAAAATATACCTCATCTCGCGGGTCCTTTTAGTCCTTCACCCTTCGCCGACACCGCTGACGGCCGCGAGAGGCAGGAGCACCTCGTCGATGTACTACTCTCATGGGGACTCGAGGCCGCCAACACCTTCACGCACAGTTCGTTGGATGCTGCAGTTGAGGGGTCTGGTCCCGACGTTTCCTCGAAGGCCTGCCGCACATTCCACCACCTGGGCATGCACTTCGACTCCATGATCGATTTCAATGCCGCCCCAGTCTCGTGAGGAACTCGTTCGTGCTATGCGAGCGGGGAGATCATCAACGTAGGAGGCGCTAAGCGTGACCATTTCCCTGTGTGGGCACAGCTTCTCGGAGGGCATTGTACTCTTCGACGTCTAGGCCGCAAGCTTGCCCATGTGGGCTGGGCTCCTGAGTCGACCGAGTCTCTATCTGCCTATCGGGAAGGGGTCTTGAAGGATTTGGAGGAGTTGCACGAGGAGGAGGGACATGCGGTGTTAAATCGGCTGGGTAACATCATGGTGGGGAGGGCTGCGGAGATTGAGCGCGCTACTCGAGGTAAGCTCTTACGTGGCGCCTGTTCCAATCCTGAAAGTCTCGCGCGCCTTGCAGAACACATTCAGTTGATCCCAAAGGGCGAGCCTAGGAGGAAAGAGCCGAGGAGAAGGGAGGTCCGTGCGAGGAGGTGTTGGGAGAGGAAGACGCGGAGGATCCAGCGCCCGTCGGGGAGGAGGCATCGCGAAGGAGGGCGTGCTACGGTTGGGAGAGAGCTGGTGGATGTGGAGGGCAAGGTGGTGGAGGAGGTATCCAGATGGGGCTCGGTGGTCCAGCAGTATTGCAAGTGTAAGTACTTCGATCCTGATGAGACGGGCGAGGTACAGCTAGCTAGGGTACAGCAGCTTTGGGATCGAGGAGGTCGGCGGGCTGTCCGAGATTTTAGTGTGCATCATGTTCTGCAAGCTCGTAGTCGTCTCAGCACGGGCAAAGCTAGCGGTAGTGATGGAGGTGTCTCAGAAATGATCTTGGCCCTCGGAGTCGAAGTAGTGTATCTGGTGTTCGAGCTCTTCGTGTCCAGGTTGTGTTCTGGAGGTGGCCCCGTGGAAAGCCATCGTCATGTCGCTCCTCGCTAAAGAACCTGTCGCCGGAGACATCTCCAAGCACTTCCGAGGGATCTCGCTTTTGTCTGTCACTTTGAAGTGGTATATCTCGTCCCTCACGCTGCTGATGCTTGAGCAACTGAGGGGCCTCTCCATCAGGCAATTGTGTATCATGGGCTTCGAGCCCCACATGTCATGCAACCAGGTGGTCGGTCCAGCCTCAATTCTCCTGATCACGGCGCACGAGTGGCCCGAGGAGTGCCCGTTTGTGATGTTCATGGGTGATGTTTACCAAGCTTTCGGCAATCTGAGGGGCCGCGAAGTCGCCCAATGCTTTCAAAAACGGGATCTGCCAGGGGGCCTAAGTGCGGCGCTCTTAAGAGAGAATGTTGGCTGTCACCTTGAAGCAGCGTTTGAAGGCGCCCCTGTGCCCGAGTCTGTTCCATTCACAAACTGCGAGCGTCAGGGCTCGACTGATGCACCTATGAAGTGGAATGTTGTCCCGGGGGAGGTTCTGAGAGAGTCTATTCCATATTTCAGGGAGCATGGCGTCATCGTTAACGGTCATCGATGCACTCATATTCTGTGGTGTGATAACATCTATCTCCTTGGCAGATCTATGTCCCAGGTTCAGCATTCTCGCGGGGGTCATGGCGAGGTGCAGATTGTGCTGGAAGCCTAGTTCCCTCGAGTTCATCACCCCGCTGGCAACTGCGGAGCAGCCTTTTAAGTTATTGGCTCCAGACCCGCGTCAGACTCCACCGACATTGGCGTCTTTGGAGGTCTCATGTTGCTCGAGCAGCTTGCTGCAGCTAGTCAGTATCATTGCTGAAGCGGGAGACTCTTGGCCAGATATCAGAAGGCGGGTGGAGAGGGCAAAGGCGGCGTTCTGGGGGGAAAAGGTCCTGCGGTCCTGGATGCTCCCGATTGCTGAACGCATGCGTAGGTATTCTGAGTGCATTGTTCCCATCATGTGCTGCGGTTGCGAGACCTGGGCCATGGCGCAAGGGGTGCTGGTCTTCCTCGCTAAGGCTGAAGGTGGTATGCTGGGGAAGGTGGGCAGAACCGGGAAGAGGAGGATGGGGGGGGCGATCGCCGAGCACATGAAATCGACCACTCGTAGTATTCGTAAGCTCTATGTAAAGCAAGGCCACCTTCTAGTACACGAGCCGGCGCTGCAACAACGCCGCAGATTTGCTAGCAAGATTTTCGGCCAGGCTGGGCCTCCGCCCTCTTGTGCTCCTCGGGGGGCCTCCGCAGTTCCTGATTATGCTCAGCATGTGCGCCCTCCTGGAGGCTGCGAGGGATCTAGGCAGTTCCTATCCGATGTATATGCATGCACGTGCGAGGACCAGTGGCAGGGCTTCAAACAGAAACAGATCGACAACAGGAAGAAACGGGTTCGTCTCGAGAAAAAGTCGTTCGCCACGGTCGCAAGAGAAGAAGAACAATGGCAGCGCCGTGCAGGTTGGCAACGCGTGCTTCAATTGGAAGATTTTTGGATTGCGCACTTGGGGGCGGGGCTGAGGGAATGTGCCAAATATGAGCGAGGATGGAAGGAGCTGGAGGAGGACTTCATCTTAGATATTTTGCTACGTGCGGGCCTGCCACGGACGCATCTTTTAAGGCTACTGGCTACTGCAACTGCTCGTGGCGTTGCCGCCCAGCGTGCTACTCGCGCACCTCTCGAGCCTCGGCCTCTCCGAGCCCGTTCCGAGATGCGGAATGCTAAGATCCTGGTTGACATCAGGGGGGGCAACCAGACTGTCATATAGTGGTTCTTAGGTCGGTGGCACTGCTTCAACCCTCAGTTGCTCGGCCCACTTCGTAGAGTTCGTACACGTGTTCATGATCTGTATAGACAGGGAACTCTACCAGTGGAATGTGGGGGAGAATTCTTACGGCACGTGTATCGTGAATTCAATCGTGAGGCTGATGAATGTGCTACTGCTGCTCTGACGTTGGAATCAGCTCGGGGTGAGAATTATTCGCCTCCTTCATGGGCCAGGCTCGCCTCTCTTTCGTGTTGCTTATTCTGTTCATTTGGTGGAGGCAAGAGAGAGGAAGGAGTGGGGGCGGGATGGGCGATCTATTGGAAGAACTTGGAGACGGGGGAGGAGACGGTGTGGAGGAGGTGGGGTAGACCACTGGATCCCAAATGCACTACTATGACTGCTGAGCTTGTTGGAGTCGCTGATCTCTGGGAGTATCTTGCTAATATTGTGAGCCTGGGCGCGGTGGAGGAGATGGATAGGGTTGTTCTGAGT